TCAGCATGTAATTGTGTGTTCAGCCTGAGAATGAAAGATCTGCATCTCAAAGAACATACTCTGTGATCTCTGAAAACCAGGCTTACAGTGCCACTAACTCCTCATCTTATCTTCTGCATGTCTGCACAGACATCACAAAGGGCTTTCTGTGTGTGTGAGCCCAGCCCATGGCCAAGTTTGGGGTTGCACCAGAAAAGCAAGAATGGCTCAGTAGCACTGGCAATYCTCTAGCCTTGGTCAAGGACACCAAGGAGAGCTGAAGACTTCAAATTTATCATATCTTGGGATTGCCAGGGGAAAAAGCCCATTATAAAACCAGCGAGGTGATACATATGCTTTAAAGGGGAAATRAAACTGAGTATATGTTACAATCCAAAAATTTTCTTACTTGTGTCAGTGCAATTTTTTKGTATGATCTGAGATATTTAAAATATATAATATGGAGATTTGTAAAGTTAAAATATTTAAATATAGGTATTTAATACTGTTTGAGTGCCAAAACCTTTATTAAAGTCAGTGTTCAAATGAGTGAATGAATCTTCCTAATACMAAAAGTGTCAATTAAATATAGAGAAAGGGATTGCAGAGACATAATGTTAATAATCAATTTTCTAGATTTTTGTAGATGGCTGTGTACRTGAGAGGTTTTTATTTAACTTGGGTCAAAACCAGGTATTAATGGAGAAGAATAAGAAAATCACATGGCAGATGAGAAGCAATAAAATTAATTTCTCATATACACTGCTAGACCAATCTGAGAACAAAATTGACATACATATCATATAACATAAAAACTAGGTTAAAGCATAGCTCAAACCTGCTAAAATTAGACAGCACATGGAATTCATCTACRTCTTGTAAAAAAGCATTTCACAACCAGTGCTCTGGAACAGCTTTCTCTCAGGTGATCCCTGTACAGTGGTTCCAAATTCATGGCTGAGGATAAGCATTTGTTAAACAAAATAGCAAAAGAAAGCATTCTCAAAGCAGTTGGGACTTTATTGACTCTGAGAAGATGGAGCTGTTAGAGTACCATAAAATTTTCCCCAACATATTAAGATTTTCTGCAAAGCATAAAGAGGAMAACCTCTGTCAAGAGCACTAAATAGTACAAGTTAGATCAGCTGCACTGTGAAAAGAAATTTGGGAAGAGGCTCAAAGTTAACAACAATATAGTTGCCTATTGCAGTGTGGTATAACTATCAAATTACTGAGACTGATTTTTGTGATGTTTACCACTGTAAAGCAAATTTTGAAATTGGATTGTTTATTTAATGTTACATGGAAATTTCCTTTAAAAACCAATRTCCTATTAGCTGATGAGTAACATATATCTGGCTGCTAAGCCTAGGGAAAAACATTTTGAATACAAAACTTACGTTGACACAAAAAGCAAAAGGAGTTCTTACGAAGAGGAAACACACAGCAGTTTAATGTCTGTCACAACTCGGGAAGGTTGGTATGTGTAACTCAGGCTWACATAACTGGGGATATCTGGGATACTTGGTCAAGCAAGAGTGCACAGTGCACATCACAATTATTATTCATGGCTTCTTCAAAACACAGTCTTTGCTTAAGAAGTATCAAACAATTATTCAAGCCAGGACATCAGTGGAAGCTTTCCTCCACTTTTTTTTTTTCTTTTTTTTTTTTTCTGAGAAGASAGTCTTTTCCATCACAGATCCAATGATGTGAATAATGTCAGTAATCTGTTGTCAAACAACTAGAAAATTTGGTTTGCCTTTTAGTCTTAGGCACTTGTCTGTTTAAAGTGCCTACTGCTGCCATTTCGTGGGCTAGCAGTAATCTGTGTGAAGTGATGGCAGTGACATAAATAATCTATTGTACARGTTTTCTACTGCAACTGAAAYGCCTGAGTTATTTGCCATCACAGGTTTTAACATGATCATAGCAATTACAAGGAATCCATTTGCAGGCACTTTTTCACTGACTTTCAGAAATTCTGCCTCCATAGATGCTATTGAATCAGGCTAAGCTTGCTATCATAGCTGCAATTCCAGTCGCACACAACTTTTGCATCTTCTGCAGAGAGATGCAGGCAAATGCCTCTGTCTCATTTATCCTACATSTATTTCACAGCTTTCCAGAAGCACAGGGAGCCTATGGCTCCAGAGTATATGACAGGTCCAAAATTTCTATTGTATAGAAATAAAATTTCTCAAATATACAGCAGTCTTGCAGTTTAACCTTGCCACAGATCCTCATATGCATGATCCTTTCTTAAAAAAGAAAATACACACTCAGTGTTGGTCTCTACTCTTCCACCAATGGAGCGAAACCTTGAATTAACATTGGAGAAAAATCTGGAATTAACATGGTCTGTGCAATAGAAACATGATTTTATTCTACGTGAGTCTCCCCCTTCACCCTTTGCCAAATCCTTKTCTCTATACATTAGAGATACAAATCATGATATCTGTAAGAAGCTTTTTCTGGGTGTCAGCAGGATTTTATATCYTTAAGGTGGAGACCATCAGCCTGAGTTTAATCCCATTTATACTGGACAAAAGCAAGGCTCTTGTCTTTGATTTCTTGTGAAGAAACATGCACTTAATTTAAGAAAATAAACACTTGGTAAGCTCATTCAGTTAATACCAAGGATTAATTATTTCTATAAATTTGCAGAGTCAGACCCACTTTAGTGTTTTATAATATGTTACAGTCTCTTTGTTATTTTTAATAAAAACCCTCTGACTATGCCATGATAGTATGTATTGGTCATTAGCATGAATATACACATTGATTCATCTATAGAAATATTATCACATGTATAAACATATTTGTTTATGGGTGTTAATATAACTAGATCAGCTTTATTTTAGGAACAAGGCTTTTTACTGGTGTAARTGCAGTGACATAGTTGCATATGATAGTCATCTGCTACGAATTGTCAGATTTTGATCATCCAAATTGAAGTGGAACCATATCTTATTAAAAAAGCAACCCAGTACTTGAAATTGCACAAGGAGAAAAAATTTATATAACACTATAGAATATCTGTCTCATTTGGTGTATARTGTTAGATCATGCATAAGCGTGAAAATAATATATGCTTTTCTGGTGAAAATGTACTTTATGAAGATTTTGATCTACACTGTTGGGGAAAAAATTGAAACAGTATGTAAAAGTGTTATTTCTCATATAATTCCTGTGAAACACAGCATATTTATTTATCAACTTGATAACATTCTCTTGAATTCCAAAGTGAAGTGGCATTCTGTAATTAAGTGTAATTTTAAAACCCCATTGCTTTTTGAGGTGTTACTGTTTATATATATATTTGCCTTTAAAAAGTGTAATGCCAGTAGCATTACAATGTTAAATTCAKATAAATCATGACAAACATTTTCACAAACAGAAATGTTAACATGCTACATAGCTTTCTTTGGAAAAGTAAAAGAAATTATCACAGAAAACACATTTTAATTTAATTATATCCATTAGGTCATTAAAGTGATGTAATGTGCATATCAGTCCTCCTTTCATCCATAGATTACTTTAATCTTTCATGTGCTTCGTTTTGTTTTGTTTTTTTTTCCCTCTGGCTTTCTTTCATACTTGCTTTGTTTTGAAATTGCATGTTGTCTGGATTTTTTTTGCATGACCTCCACATTAATTTCACGTTGAATGTTTACATATTCTGAGAGATTTTCATGGATCATTTATTCTACATGTGCATTTTTTTCTTTGTTTTCAGTTACTAAACTTTAAATATGCTTGAAATGTAAAAGTGGCATGAAGCTTTTGTGACATGGGTATCCAACTATTTTAACAGAGATTTTCAGTATGCATCTTCCAGAAATACATATTCTAAACCACATTTTATACCGTGGTTTCAAAATGTGAGAAAATAAATTACATTGTGATACTCTAAATATATTCCATTGAGGACCTGGAGCCAAATACTGGTCATATTCAATTTGACCAATGACAAACACATGAGATTGGTCCTTTAAATTACTTAAGAAGGTCTCTGCTCTCTTGGAGGTCATCACTTGCAAAGTTCTGTGTCTGTATATGTTCAGTATAAGAATCATTATAGGTCATTGTCTGACAGCACAGATCACTTAAGACACACTGTCTGCAGCTCTGTGTAGGTGCCCTCTAGAATGCCAGTTTCTTTCAATTGGCTATATAGTGACCTTATTTCCTTATTTAGTATCTGAAATAAATGTCCCAAGTAGGCTTTTACACAGTATAGTGCTGTAAGTCCTTGTGACTGTCTATAAAGTCAAAGGTTTTATCGTGTRAGAAGCCCCAATTTCTTCTATGTTAATTTCTGATTTGAAGAATTTGAAGCAAAATACGTCGTTCKCAACATGCAAAGAAATACTGCTTATCAGCAGAATTCCATTTCTAAATCATAGAGCTAAAAGCATATACAGAGAAACATAATGAATAAATATATGTCTATAAAATAAAACAAAATATTTTTAATTATGAAAAAAAMCCAGCGTTAAAACACACTTAAGTAGCTGTCAGTAAAGAGGCCAAATAAATAATTATGGAATCAACAGCACCTACCAGTAAATAATTTTTTATTTTAATTGACATGGGGCTGAATCTGCATCCKACAAGCAAATCAAAGTTTTCCACTCTCCGCATTACAGCCTATTCTTTTCAGACGGTTAATTAATTCTGTGCACAGTCTGCTATAATTAARGATGGATAGCTTGATCTCAAAGGATGCTGAACCATCTGTAGCCCTTCATCCAAACAAGCTAAACACAACAGTTTCCAAGTAGGGAACTGAACATTGTGACTTAAGACCTCTAATCAAATTGATCCAGTCTCCAGGAGCTTTGCCTTCAGCCTTCAGAYCTCACCACAACTACCTCTGATTCTTTGCAGCCACTTGGTTTGTGCTGATTTGAGTCACTACAGTTCTCTCCACTTTTACAAACTAGTTGTTTTGTCAGCATGAGTGTGACAACAATTAGACGTCCCTGTTTTTGCCCCATGCCTTTTCTCCTTCACAGTCATTCAATGACAAGCGTAAAAAGAACTTCATCTTTTCACGAAAATTCCCATTCTACAAGAGCAAGGAGCAGAGTGAGCAGGAAACAAGTGATCCAGAACGTAAGTAACCTCTTGGAGATGATGTCACATGCAGCAGCACAACAAATGGGTGACACGCATGATTCCAGAATCCCACACATCCAGGCAAATATCTGTCATAGGCAGGCAGGAGAGGTATTACTACTGTGACCAATGTATGACTGCAGTTTGGATCCAGCTTCTCCTTCCATCTCTGGAAATACTATTTTCAGAAGAATAAAGCAGTGACCTTAATTTTTGAAAGCGCAAATATGGCTCCTCAAAGTTGTTGTGACACCTGTCATAAATCCAAAATTGTCTCTCRGAAATATTCCCAGATCAGAATTGGCTCAAAATAAGGCAAATGTGYGATTTCTTTCACTGTACTAAACTAAATACTTTTTAAAATATCTCTTCTAATCTTTTTTTTTTTGCCTTTGACTTTCACCAAGTTGATTTCCATGGCAGCTTCACTGGAAGTTTAAGAACTAAATGAAGCAACCATGTTAACAGCTTAAAGAACTAAATTGGATCTTGGAATGTACACCGCCATGAGCATTTATTGCTTGCTTAAATTATATAGGGAAGAAGTATTATTAAAAATATTTGCTAGTTCCAAGCCCAAATTTTCASTTTTTTTCTTAATAATTCTGTCCTAAATTTACCCAGTGAGGATAGTTTTTGGAACTTTATTTATCTGGTTGTTCCTTCTTCGTCACAGCTCTAAAAGGCACATTTCACAGTCACTGCCTCTTCCTTTGGCTAAATTCCCATAGAATATGGGTCTAAATTTGTTTCAGAAAAACAAGGCAGGGATCCAGATTGCTCAATCAACATGGTCAGTCATGGTAGTATCCATTTCAACTCCACTGACTTCTTCCTTCCTCTTCTGCGGCTGTTCTTCCTTTCTCATTGCTCTCTCTGGGGACTTCCGTGCAGGACATCCCCGGATTAGGTGACGACGGTTATGGAACAAAGACTCTGAGTAAGTTCCCAGGAATGGTCACTGTAAACCCTTTTTTGTTTTGTTTTGTTTTGGCTTCTGTTCCTTCTCTGAGGACCCTCCACTCCTAGCATGCACAAGATAGAGTTTTATTTGTTACCCAGCTGTGAATGCATTACAAATGTTTCAATCGTTCTGTTCTGCATGACTGATATTAAATAACATACGGTGTATCAAGCAGACACTTTCACTTCTTTTGTAATAACACCTTTTGTTTCTGACAGTATGTTATTGTTCCCATCATGGCAGTTCTGTAGAGTAGCATACCTAGAACGCGTTTTGCTGCCTAGACTGTTCTTTTTAGCAACAATCCCTCCCTCTCCATYGAAAGGGAAACTTAAGCATTTTAACATGATCACATCCTGAAGAGATCAATAGAAAATTGGTTTCTGCTGTTGCTTCTGCATTTTCAGCTTTTTGCATGGGAGTGTTTGTTACTTTGCTGGATTTTAGATTAGTATTTGTTATTAATGGAAGAAGTCATTTGCAGGCTAGAGAAGACCATGCATTCTCCAAAGCTAATTTTGGACCAATTTTCACCATTAGCAATCTATTCTTTGTCACACAACCTTAATAATTTTTTTTTTTCTGATGCAGCAATCCTGTCTCAAGACTTGGCATTGCAGAGTGTGTAAGGTGTCAGATCATTGCTCAGAAATAATCTTCCTTCCTCAAAGTTTAGACCAGAAAAACTGCATAGAATTAAATATTTGCTGCTGATTTCTACAATATATAACTGCATTAAATTCTGTATCCAAAGCTAAATAATTTAAACAAAATGCCACTTGCATGTGTTTGCCTCCTTCTTCCTCAGTTCTTATTTCTTTTCTTAAGCACCAAGTAATTGGAGCAAAATGTGTGTTAATGCTGCATCGCCTACTGTTTTGTATGTGCTTTTTAATTGCAGGAATGCACATCCATGCACACAGTCTTGGAGATCATTCTGTTTCTGACTGATTTGTTGAAGGAACATTTTAATGGTTTACCTTTAAGCCATGCAGTGGCTCACAATTTAAAGATGAAAGCTTTATCTCTTGTACAAGGAAGAATGGTTCTGCGAGACTGGTTTTGTCAGTGATAGACAGCAAATGTCACTGCTGCCGAATTTTAACTGTCATAGCAGCTCATTAGCAACAGATGCTGATCCTTCCCTGCTAGAGAAAAGTAAAATAATTTAGATCTGATAACCTTACCAAATATCTGTGTCCTTGCAAAGACAATGCTCCGTAACATCCAGGTATTTGAAAGGTAACTGAATTCTGCAGATTGATATGGAACAAAGTAGTGCCTCTATTAATACTGCACCTAGTTTTAAATTACTGGCACACCTCTAGACATTCCTGCCCATGCAAATTTTGTTTGTTTTCAAGCTAGACAGCCTTTTGAATGGCATTTCTTACTATAAAAGGTATTTGTTATTTTTAAATAAAGTTGGTCAGGTCCTATATAGCACATTGTCTTGAGGTAACCCTTGTTCACTTGCAATGAAATGTATGAATGTCATTATGATGTTTTCTTGGAAATAAAAGTTGAATTGTTTAAAGTTTCGTCCTAAGCCCAAGAACAAGGTTTTCCATTACTGTTTTTATCAGCTGTCATCCTCTCTCATTCTGCTGYTCCAGAAGCCCCATCATTCCCAGTCTATGAACCCTAAGCCATTAGACTGGTACCTGGGGGGAAGGCAGTGCCTTGCAGAGAATAGGTGATCTTGGCACTGCTTCTGTCTTTCTCATTAACCCAGGGTGCTCCCAACTGTACAGCCATTATGCCATTGGCTTCTAAATGTCCTGGATCAGCTGAAAAGTTTCAACTGCCAAATGATCTTTCATGTGCAAAGTAATCAGCATTTCTACTAGAGAAACCACTGTTCAATACGATCCTGCATACCTCCTGGAAAGCATATGGCATGATCTTACTGTTCATAAATAGTCTGCGACTACAATTTTGGAGGAGCAACATYATATGATATAAACTGCACCTTCCTTTCAAGAATATGATAATAGAAACAGGACACCTGACTTSACAAACCACAAGACTGACCCATCATGATAGTTCTTACATTCTGGTTCACCCATCCAGACTGGTCTGGTAAGGGTTTTCAAACTCCAGCTCAAATCCCAATGTCTGGAAAAAGACATCTTCCTTTTTTTTTCCTTTTTTTT